TTTTATTTATTTATTTTTTATTCGAATATGTAATATCATAAATATTTATATTTTATTTATTTTATTTATTTATTTATTTTAATTAAATAACAAGAGAAACAAATTTTAACTGTCTATTTATTTCGAACAATTATATTCTTTTCTTCTTATGACCTCTACAAATCTCAAAATCAAGCTACCGGGCTTCGTAATTTATAAGGTAGGTCTTATAAACCGAGTTAATATCATTATCTTATGTATCTACCAAAAAGTTTCCTACCCTATTGAAAAAATATGTTGCTACATATGTTCATTAAAAGAGATTAATTTTTTCCACAGAATTCGTTCAAATGTCAATATGGCCAAACAGAGTCAGACTCAAAATCAAAACAGTAGCAAAGACAACACAATGTCGGGAGGATCGGCGACAGCATCTATTACTGGAGTTAGCAATCAGCCAGCTAGCGATGAAAGAATTACCCTCATTGTCGATAATACCAGGTAATAGAATTAATAAATTAATAAAATATGTATACTTGATAAAATATATATATGTGTATTACAATAATATTGTATAATATTAATTAATTAAAAATATAAAATTAGGATATACATATTTCAGTTAAATCTTAATGTTTTTATTAACGCGCTGTAATATAATATAATATTATAATGTTACTTTCTGCAGTGAGTTAAAAGCTTTAGAAAGCTACTTTTACATTACTAAAAAATTATGATTATTATTGTACATCTCAGAAAAGAGACTGCATTTGGTAAAAAGCGTATGCTATATCATTTTAACATTCGGTGAATAAGGAAAATGGAATGCAGTCAAAATGCATTGTTGCTGAAGGACACTTCAATTCAATTATTCTTTTAGTTTATTGATTTATTCTCTTTTCTCTTTATTACGCCCATGCATAATTCGTAAATCGCAAAACGTAATTGCAAACGTAGATTTAGAATGAAAATTTACATTTATTTTTTTATTGCGATTAGTTTTCATCTACGTGCGGTGATTATCATTCTGCGTTAGCATTTGCGAACTACATTTTACGTAAAATTATATAAAGGCACCCTTAAATCTATTTGCATTTTGATTTCTTGTTTCAGATTTATTGTTGATCCGGCTTTATTCACAGCGCATCCCAATACAATGTTAGGTCGTATGTTCAGTTCAGGTGTAGAATATGCTCAACCTAATGAACGTGGAGAGTATGAGGTTGCCGATGGCATTTCTGCCATGGTTTTCCGCGCTATCCTAGAGTATTATAAGGGTGGAGTAATTCGATGTCCCCCGACTGTAAGTGTTCAAGAACTACGAGAAGCTTGCGATTATCTGCTAGTGCCTTTTGATGCTAGCACTGTAAAATGTCAAAATCTTAGTAAGTATTACGAACGAAAAAAATATTTGTATATATGTATATGTGTGTATAGTTTTATTAATTTTGTTACATAACTTTTCTTATATAAATTTTAAGAAGTTTATATTCTTTTTTTATAAGTGTATAAGTACTATATTTTTTACTATATAAGCAATTAATATATAAAGTATATTAATAAAGAATATATAAATATAAAAATAATAAATAAAATCATTAATATATTATATAATATTTTTTGTGTACAAAATAATGATTTAATTAATCGAACGTCTCAAGAGTGTCGAACATCTTTAGAACATTTTAAAATTGAATCAATTATAATTGAAGAAAATCACATATATAAATGGAAAAAATATTAAACTGATAGAAAATTGATTTATTTTTTGTAAGAATTTTTAAAATTAAAAAGTTTGTTGTTGCAGGAGGATTGTTACACGAATTGTCGAATGAAGGTGCACGCTGCCAGTTCGAAGTATTCTTGGAGGACTTGATTTTGCCATTGATGGTGAATAGTGCACGACGCGGTGATCGTGAATGCCACATTGTTGTCTTGCTCGAAGACGATGTCGTCGATTGGGATGAGGAGTATCCGCCTCAAATGGGAGAAGAATACTCCCAAAGTAAGTAAATCGGATTTTTTTACATATCAGAAATATTCACATATTATGTATCTCTAGCTTTGAAACATTTATATATATCTCTAGCTAAATTGAGAATTCTATTGTAAAAATTAATAAATAAATACTTGGAATTCCTCATTCTTAATTGACTGTTTTATATTATAATTTATTTAAAAATATTAAATTTGGATAGTATGTCACTTTCACAACTTAATTTTATTTCAATTATTTTATATAAATAATTTAACAATATAAAGTGTTTTATAAGTGTACTGTTAAATTATTTTATTCATTAAAAACCAAATGTTATAATATTGTATAAATACTTTGTGTAGTATAATTTACTAAAATAATTCTCTTAAATCTTCTTTTTATATACATATTTTTATAGTGCGTATAATTTGCTATAAGTAACCTTCAGAAGCTTTAAGAAAATACAAGCAACTTTTTTAGCTATGAAATACAGTAACCGTTAATTTTACACATTTATCACTGTGTTTAATGCAAAATCGATTAGCTTTGTCTTTAAAGGTGCATAATCTCCATTAGTTCCGCCTGTTTTCTTCAACAATGCTCAAGGTAGCTTGCGATATTAATACGATCCTGTAATGTGTGCCATATATTTAACCGCTCGCACACTTAGGAAATGTTGGAACTTATATGTATAGCGAACTGAAATTTGTGTGCAACTTAACTAATAAACTTCAAATACTATCATAAAGACATAATTATAAACATAATTATTATAGATATATAATAATATAGATATATAAATAAACATTTAAAAAATTTTATTATTTTATTTGATTAATTCAAATTTATTACTTTTCAATTTACTATTTTTCACTGGTTCTTTTCATTTTCTAAAGGTTGAAAACTTTACATTTCAAACATAGGTTATTTCATATCGTACTTTTTTATTTTCAGCTGTCAATAGTACGGCAATGTATCGCTTTTTTAAATATATCGAGAACCGAGACGTGGCTAAGCAAGTAATGAAAGAGCGCGGTCTCAAAAAAATCCGTTTAGGCATCGAGGGTTATCCGACTTACAAAGAGAAAGTGAAGAAACGCGCCGGTGGTCGCGCTGAAGTCATATACAATTATGTTCAGCGACCTTTTATTCACATGTCTTGGGAAAAAGAAGAAGCCAAGAGTCGTCACGTTGACTTTCAGTGTGTTAAGTCCAAATCAGTGACGAATCTCGCTGAAGCCACAGCCGATCCTGTTCTGGATGCTGCTGGAAATCCTATGCTTCTTCAGGTTGCTGAAGGAGCAGTCTCTCAACCAGAAGTGGTTGGGCTTCCTATGGGTTCGGATGCTGATGTGGATGGACCAATGGGACCTGGCGATCAAGACTTGGGCCCATTACCATCTGACGAACTACCATAAAAGATAAAAATAGGCTAGGACTGATTTAGAAAGCCCAAAAAAGATTTTGGAAACGAACTTTAAAAATATATTTATAAAATCTTTAAAGAAATTCTTGAAAAAAATCTTGCAATTCATCATGAAAAATGGAAGTTGAATTCTGAACACGAGTGTATTAGATTGTTAAATAAAAGACTGAAGTGCATTTGACTTTGAATCGTTACAGATTTGACTCGAAGACTTTGGAATCCAGTGAATCTTGATGACAAAAAGTGTTATACCCTGAGAATTTCCTAAGATACGTATTCTGAAAGTTTCAAAGCTTAAAAAAAGGAGCAAATCTACTATTTACGACATAATTTCCACATGATACAGATCTATGTGATTCTATCTAAAGAAATATTTATTTATATTGAATGATTCACAAAAAAAAATTTTGATTGTATTATTTTGTGGACAAAATTTTATTTGTTGTATTTTACTGTTAATATTCTTGCTATTATTATTGTATGGATTCTTTTAGATTTTTGATATCACATATTTGTGCGATTATATGATCGAAACAAGATGTATCGAAAGACTTATGGCGCCATGCACTTCAGTCTTTACGATTCAATGTTTGGTTTTTTCGGTTTCTTCTTGAATCTATACGATTCTATTTAAAGAAATTTACAGAAATCGAAAGATGTATAAAAAAGAATATTTTTAATTAATAATGATGCAATTCTTTTGTCTTTGTATTGTTTTTCAAGGTATGTGTTTTAGGAAAAAGACTTATATTAAGATTGAACATGAATTTCTTCGTCTAGCATATAGTTTTTTTGCGATTTTTTGCAATTTTTTGTATATAAACGTTGCGTGCGTGCGCGCGCGCGTGTGTGTGTGTATGTAATTATGTGTGTGTATGCGCATGTGGCAATTTTCAAAATGCGCGCGCGCGCGCGTATTTGTGTATATGCGTACGCGCACATACGCACACGATCTGACAATAAAGTTCTCGAACTGTAATAGTAAAAAAATACAATAGTAAAATACAGTAATAAAAAAGTACAAAGACACAAATTATTTTATATTTTTCAAAGTAGTTACTTATGTACAATAAACTTTATACATTTTTTTATACAAAGCCTCAAAACTTTTTTTTTAAGTCGCATAGTTGAAATGCTATTCTAAGAGCATTTGTTACATTTCTATGAATATTCTCGATGTCTTGAAAATATTTCCCTTTCATGATGTTTTTGAGTTTTGAGAACAGCATGAAATCCGAAAGACAGATCTTAATAAGATGAGCTAATCTTAACAACCTCTTTCTTGGCTAAAATGATATTGCTTTGGGTGCAGGGATATTGTCATGTAATTTTTTTGGCTTGTTGAGATTAGTCATCTATTTGTTTAACTCTTTTGGATTTTATGCTATTTTCAAAGCTCGAAAACATCATGAAAGGTTTTTAAAAACGTCGGAGATGTTCAGAAGAATGCTCTAAGTAGTGTTTCAATTACAGACTTCAAAAAATGTTTTAAAGCTTTGTAACAAAGATGTGTGATGCATATTGATGTTATGGAGGACTATTTTAAACATCTTAAAATAAATTTATAAAATAGAATTGATTGAAAAATATTAATATATTGTTGTCTAAGATATTTGTGTTTCTTTTATTGCTGCAGTCCGGGAGCTTTATAATAGCGCGTGGTTTGGATTCTGAACGTAATAACAAGATTGTCCCCGCTGAACTTCTCATGAAATTCGAGGTCGTATTGAGGACCGCGATTTTACCGCTATTACCACTCGCTATTCACGTACGTTTAATACGTATGGAAGGGATGTTGTGCGCTATTTCAAAATTCGCTATTACGAAATTTCAATGTATATAGATTTTTTTGTATTATGTGTATAATTGCAAATATGATCGATGTTATTATCGCATATTTTACTACCATCGGTCTTTCCCGTTTTATACTATTATAATCAATAAAGTTAATTACGTGATTTTTCTCAATAAATAAATTTTTGCCCTTTTTAGCCCTTAAAATTAATTTTCCTTTTATATATTACAATTTTCTTAAAGAGTTCTATATTATGAAAGTGTTCTCTAAAATGGAAAATTCGTGAGAAATATATAAAGAATTTAAAAATAAATTTATAGATAAGCAATATTGGGCA